GAATCATTTTATACATTACATAGGTGTTGTAGAGGACAATACAGGAAGGAATAAACTTAATTTGGTTATTATGGAAAGCATCAAAAAGATGACTTTGAGGTAACATCATAAGAAATTGCTTAAGTGGAAGATGGGAAGAGATGGCGAACAAAGACCTGGGGGTGGGGAAAAATACACAAGGCCACAGGTCAGGATAGTAAATATGGCAAAGTTTCCTTACTCATAGTCCTTGGGACTCCTCCTTCAGTGGTCAACATCTAACCACGAATATCTTTACCTATTTGCTTGAGGTTGTTCTCCAAAATGACTGGATACCACTGTTTCCTATAGTTAGGCTGGCCAAAGAGCTGAGGAGTTAATATCCTCTAAGAATTTGTGTATAAATGCCCAGCTCCCTTGCCACTGAAGACTCTACTCTGCCTTAATTTCCCAGTGAAATTAAGTTCCAGTTCCTTGTAATAGAAACAAATCTACAAGCCTTTATATGTAATCCTTTATCAGTTTCTTTCCCTTTCCTGTCTAATTTTCCCATTCTTCTACTGATGTTTCCTGTACCTTCCAAAAAAACATGAATCCTTGCCCCAAGGCTGTTTCTGGGGTAACCTAAGCCAAGATAATGTATATGTTTAAGAATGAGGAAAAGTTTTAAAAGTTGGGGGAACATGGTCCACACTGGGTGTCACAGAAGAAATGCCTAGAAAGATAAGGCATATCCATTGTTTCATGATTCAAGCACTGTATCTGCTATATTACTAGATGAAGTCATAATAAATTAACCAAGGGTAGTGCCTAGGGATAAGAGGAAAATCAAGAGGAAAAAATAAAATACTTCAAATCCTACCAATGGAAACAAGATATCTCTCTCTATGCATCAACTAATGTTTTGTGTTGATGACTTCACTTTGGTTGAGTGACGGAGAATGGAAGTGGAAGGGGGTTTGACATGAAGATACTGGAAGATGCCTTCTCGTTTCCATTGGATTGGATTGTTGGTACCTGTTTTTTATAGGGAATGAATGGGTAAAACATTTTTTCCTTATATAATAGAGATATGCTTTACACAGTGCTTTGAACATAGCAGGTCCTCAATAAATATAGATTTTAAATTACTTTCCTAAAACTGATTAATTTTTCTTTATAAGGTCAACCACGAGGTACTTTTATTTCTTGAGACCGTCTTTTAACCACCTTAGTATCTCCCAACTTCCTAAAACAAAAAGGTGGATATATATTTCCTGCTATGGTGGCTGCCCTTAAACCCTGGAGCGACTATTCCGCCTTTGTTAGGCTTACCTGTTCACATTTCACTGAGTTTTTACAAAAGCTTGAATGCACTTAGTATTTGACAAATGCTAACTTAACATCTATCAGCTTCTTCATATATATGCATCAATAAAATAGAGACATCACTTGATATCTAAGGGAGATTGATTCCAGGACCACTGGTGGTTACAAAAATCTGTGGATGCTTAAGTCTCTGATATAAAATGGTGTTGTGCAGCCAGCTTTCCACATCAGTGGGCTTAACATCTGCAGATAGGGAGGCCAGAGGTACTACCAAGTAACCTGTAGATATTTTCCAAAATTATCAAGGAGACCATAAGTGATATCTCAGCCCTCAGTCCATGAAGTGGAGATTTATTTCTTCACAAGTCATTTTTTTTTCCTTTAATTTTAAACAATTTTGAAATTTCTATCTTACAATTTTCAAATCTCTAGGAAGGAAATGAAAAGAGTGAAAAGTATAATCTGAATTCATTTTAAACTCTCATAAGACAGAAATAAAATGCAAGCTTTCTCATCATTGTTTTAGAAGCTTCAGGTTTTAGGACAGATAAAGGAGCATCTAGGAAGAGTGGACTTTGTAATTTTTCAGAGATGCTCATATTAGAGGTATGAAAAGCTTGTGTCATTTATAAAATCAAAATGTGCAAGTATGATGTACAGAAAAGTATCTCTGAAAGAAAGCCATAGCCATTAGGAGGAAATCAACCCAAGGAGTTGCTTCTTTCCGCATCAGAAGTGCCTGTCTCCTCTCCCTCCATTTCAGATAACTCTTAAAGTGAATTAACAAGAAATTACATATTTTTAAAGACCATCTCTCTAGAGATGAATGATGCAAAAGATGCTGCAGTTAGTTATGGTTCTAGGTAGTGACTTTTCATCTCATTTATACAAAGGGAGCTGTGTTGTGTTTAGCCCATAGGAGTTATAAAAGAAAACAGATTTATATTTTGCTTTTCCTTGTGAATTTTATTTATTTTACTTTAATAATTTGCTTCGGAATTATTGAGTAAATAGAGGCAATAACAGTGGCATATCTTTACTTTTTGTGGATATCATTAAAGCCAAACAGAGAAACAAAGAACACAACCCATTTCTTTCCTGTTCACACTTTGAAAATGAGTTCTATGACCAAAGCTACAGCTGCTGACACCAAACAGATGTGTTCCACCTGACTCTGGCGCTGCAAGTTCAATTTAACCTGAGTTTATTCTCAGGGCATAACAGGAATAAATTGCTACATTTATGATAATTTATTCCCAGAAGGGATATGATTTTGAATGAAATTGAGTAGAAAATTTACCTTCAGGGACTGACAGGATATTGACAGCATTAGACATCAAAGTCAACCCCTATATAAGGGAAGGCATTTCTTGAACTTAAAAATGAAAGATAATGTGCCCAGGTTTAGTAAACATTCATTCCAACCTCTTTTTCAATGCCCTGAAAGCTAAAAGTTATATTTCCCATTGAGTTGGTGTTACATGTCTTGGGTATGTTAATGGTATTACAGTTAAGTAAGAAAATGTCCTTGTTCTTAGGATATTCATGTTAAATGATTTAGAGAGGAAGTGTCATGATGTGTGCACCTTATTTTCAAATAGTTCTGCAAAAACTAACTCACAGTAGCAGGTGAAGGTAGGCCAAGAATAAAGCATTTATTTATATGAGAGAGAGAGAGAAAGCAAGTGTGGCAATCGTTTAATAGTGAAATAAGTAAGTGATAATCAGGTATTCAAACACTATTCTTTCAACTTTCTTGTAGCTTTTCTTTCTTACTAATAATATTTGAAAAAGTGATAATTTTCTTAAAAGTTGATAGATAACAGCATATTTAATTTCATATCAAATTCTGGTCAGAATGTTCTCTCTTTAACTGACAGTTTGTTAAAATTGTTTTATAACAATGTTAAATGTAAAATGTTTTGTTTCCCACCTTTATTAGCCTCAGAAAAGAACGTCTTTCAATTTTGGGGACTTTAAGTTTTCTTTTTTTTTTTTTTTTGAGACAGAGTCTCTCTCTGTTGCCAGGCCCCAGGCTGGAGTGCAGTGGCACAATCTCGGCTCACTGCAACCTCCGCCTCCCAGGTTCAAGCAATTCTCCTGCCTCAGCCTCCCAAGCAGCTGGGACTACAGGTGCACGCCATCGTGCCCAGCTAATTTTTGTATTTTTTTAGTAGAGACGGGGTTTCACCATGTTGGCCAGGATGGTCTCGATCTCTTGACCTCGTGATACGCCCGCCTCAGCCTCCCAAAGTGCTGGGATTACAGGTGTGAGCCACCGCACCCGGCAGGGACTTTAACTTTTCTACCTGATATACTGCCCTTCTAAAAGCCAATACACAATAAGTATAATCTTTATAGAATTCTCAATATGTTTTATTTTATTCTTTGATTTATTTATTTTCATGTCTTGTGTGATTAGCAGAACACAAGAAATCAAAAGCACACTAACCAAATAGCATAATTATTATAAAGATTAAATAAAACCTCTCTCTTACTAAAAAACACTACCTTCCCAGAGTCTTTTGTATCCAGGTTTCTCAGTGCAATTTATATTCCACCAATCAATGCTCTTGTGTAAATCTTGATCCCTAAAGTCATGTGAGAAGAGAGGGAGGAGTAAAGCATCTATTTAGCTGCACACAATGTAGCAGATACGATGGTTCTAGAGCTGTCTTAGCAGCTTTCCATTCTGGCAGCTTATTTTCCTGGTTATGGCAGAAGTCGTGTTTTGCAGTCAGAAGTGGCAATAGTGGATTGAAAACTTTCTGTAGAAGGAGGAGTAAATTTCACAGTTGTGTCAGAGGTGGATTAGTTCTGAGCCTGGAAGTTATTCCCTGAATTAAGTCAAGAGCTAAATAATTTTGTAAGTTTCTATTTCTTGCTGTAAAAATTCCCTTCTGATTAAACTAACTAGAGTGAATCTGTTGTCTGCAATGTAACCTAAACAACATACAAGGCCTCTGCTTTAGCCAGCCATATAGGAGGTATTGCTCCTATCTAAATGGCATATAGGGTCATATTAGATTGGTGCTATCCTATCTAAACCCTTGTCAAATTTGTTTTAAATGTATGGTCTCTGGTCTCTTTCTCAGTCTTTCTGCTCTGTCTTCTAAAAGAATTATTTAGGCGGGGTGCAGAGGCTCACGCCTATAATCCCAGCACTTTGGGAGGCCAAGGCAGGTGGATCATGAGGTCAAGAGATCGAGACCATCGTGGTCAACATGGTGAAACCCCGTCTCTACTAAAAATACAAAAATTAATTGGGCATGGTGGCGTG